GATCACTGAACAATGCCTTTCAAAGGACAGCAACTCATCCACAAGAGTAAATCCCACTAAGGGCTCATTCCCAATGAAACTATCGTTCTGCGTAGATCGATCTAACTCCACAGGGATTCTCGCTGAATGCAATCAGATTATCTAAATGACTCACTTCCTCGTTTCCAACGGTCTCATACACTCACCAGCTTTTCTGTATTCTACTCAACGCAATAGTAGGCTTGTTAATCTGTTAATTTGATTGCATTTAGGGAGAGTTCCCTCGGAGTTGGATCGATCTGTGTACACAGATAGACCCCATTTCCAGAGATTAGATCGATCTACTTTAGATCGACCTAACTCCCTGGGGGTTCACGCTAAATAGCTGTCAGCCGAGCGGGCACGAAAGTTAATTACCCTCTTACAGCTTGTAGTAGGCGGGACGGACATTTAAGCCGGATTATCTGACAGTTATCTAGTGAGACTCCCCGCGGGGATAGATCGATCTAAAAGCTCTGGGAATACAGCCATAGTTTCACTGAGAATAAGCCCTAAGTCACTTGCGGATTACCCCCTCATTTGCTAATAGTTATTCTTCTCACATGAATGGTCTCATCTCTTTGTAACGGACTGCAAGTGTTCACGAGTTTCTGGCGCACCGATTCCCGTTTCTAACACCATTATGATTTCATCACCGTGCGCGTGCATTAATTTGACATAATAATTAAGACACAGGTTTACGTGGGAACGCTGGCGTTCTTGTTCCTATGACTAGAGGCATTTCTCCGTTTTTACTCAGATTGAGTGCTTGGATATACGCTACCTGCCAAAAGTGACATTTTAGTATTTAGATCATTTGACATTCAGAAAAAAATGGACTCTATCCATGTTATTTGTATGGAGTCTCTGTGTTTAATATTGATCATGTGGCTAAAAGCGGACTTTGTTTCTGGTTTTAAGACGGACTACGATTCATTCCGCTTCAGGTCGACCAAATTTTCCATGATAAAAAGTTCAAAAGCACCTAGTCATCTCACCACGAAAACCGAACAAACATCGTCCGTAGAGGATTGCATTTTTGCCTGCCTGCAGGCATCACTGGACACTTGCCAAGCTGTGAATTACAAGAAGTCTGGAAATCTGTGCAGATTTCTTTCAACAACGATAGGACAAAATTACGAGCCGTTTTTGGAACCAAACGACAATTGGGATTTTCTAGCACCTGTCATAAGTTAGTATGCTTCAGTTTTTGCTTTCATTTTCAATATGATTTATGTTTATGTGCAACTTAAATAGTAAGAGTGTACAACAATATAATTTGTTAAATTTACTTAATGAAATGATACTAATAAATTTGTTTATTAAACTGTTAAGATGAAATAATTTTGGTATTCTGATGACATTTTAAAAAAGCATTAGGAGTGTTTTATATACACACTTAAATGTATTTAGTTTTTAAAAGTATCCAGTGCACATGGATATATTTTTGGACATTTAAGTAAAACTCGTACATGAACCTAAAAAATGTTTGAAATCAATGGAAGTAATTCTGAACAAGGATATATTTTTATATATAAAACCTTCACCGGGTGAATAATTTCATGAAATTATTCCAATGAATATTACACAAAAATATTTTCATTTACAATTTGCTGTGGCGGAGGGCTGCGTTTTTGGAGACCTCGATGATTGTGGGCACTTTTTCCGTTGAAGCAGAAATTAGAAAGTCTCTTAAAAGCATTCAGTCTAAAACAATTCTTGTCTCCTCATGTCTTGTCCCGCTTTCCGTTTCAGACGGTGTGCCGAGATCCTGTTCGGATGCGTTGGAGCGAAGCGGCAGAAGGCAATCAGGGAGGACTGAGACGACACTGATTGACCCTGACGGCGAGGAGGGTCCGGTCGCTCCTTTCTTTGTCCACTGCGATAATACAACTGGGACGGTGTGGACGAAATTAACCGCCACCCCCTATGACTCTTTCTTCCACGGCAACAATGCAGCGGGGGGAATAAGAAAATCGATCAGCTATTTATGTGAGTTTTTACGTTCCATACGTTCTTTGACGCAAGTTGAATATAGATGACGTCGTAGCACCCTGAGTTAATTACCCCCTATCAGAGAGCAAAGGAAACTCATCCGTTATCTGTCGAGTGTCGTTCCCAGCATCACGTGTGTATGCTGATTATAGGGCAGATCAAGCTGACACTCCGTCTGCGATACAATAATTTTTTTCTAAATTATTTTTGTGCGTCAATTTTTTACAATCATGATTAACAATCCAAAGTATTTTTACGAAATGGATTTTAATGTATTTTCTGTTGAAGAATCTAAGTCATTTTATTTCAGATGCTAACATGGATCAGATCGTTAGCCTCATTAGCATGTCGACGAGATGCCAACAAAAGTTGAAGTATACATGCTTCAAAGCATCTTTTATGTCCGACATGGAGGCAAGCTCGCTGAAAACGTGGTGGGTGTCTCGTGACGGTGAGAAGATGATGTATTGGGCAGGAGGCCCCTCAGACGGGCGAGGGTGTGCGTGTGGCGTCACCCAGACCTGTGCCTCGAATTCAAGTAAGGCATATTTTAATAATTAATTAAAATTAATTATCCTCAGGTTTTGGAGCAAATGGGGTCATGTCAGTGTTTTTTTTTCCAAATTCCCATACAAGCCCATTGTTTCCTTAAACTTCAGCTGCGTTTGATTGGAATTTATCGCAAATATCAGCGCCCAAAAACCATGGGAATTTTAAAAAGAAAAAAATTTAGAACGCCCCAAACTTGAAGTTATGGGTAGGACTAAATGTGTGAATACAAAATTGACGATTTTTTCTTACTGTTCGTGAGTGCTGGAAATTAACGATTTTCCCCAGCATGAAAAACTGCCCAAAATTACGCTCGCGTATTTAATAAATGGGAGGTATTTATGAGACAATCAATTCATATCTTGCACAGACGCGTATCTCCATGCACCTCAACATTTGTTGCTCTAGACTATTATAACCATGTAACGGTAGAAATAGGCAGTCGTTGGACGTACGTAATCACGATGCTTTTCTGGATCAGTTGACCGGTGATTAACGAGCTTGACGTTTGAAATTGGTTCACAAAATTTAGATTTTCTTTATTTTAATTATTATTTCATCTTGTTTATTAATTAATTAATTAATTTATTGAAGATATACCAAGAAGTCTTTGTAACTGCAACATGAACGACGGTGTGTGGCGGACAGACGAGGGCTATATCACGGACAAGACGAAACTTCCAGTGTCAGAGCTCCGAGTCGGGGATGTCGGCGATCACGGCGAGTACGGCTTGGGGACAGTGTGGCCATTGGAATGCACAGGCCTTGTCAGCCCGGTAGAACTCGGCTGATTTCGGCAACGTACGGTTTTAACCGACGGGTCCCGAATGAAACTCAGGTCAAATTTGGCAAGTTGTAGTGTTTTCCAAAAGTTTGTAAAACTGAAAAGGTCTTGGAAAATTCGTAATTCTCTGTTTAATAAGATGTTTGTATTGCAATGTCAAGACAACGCTGTGGATTAAAAGAAAACTGAGAAAATAATTGTGGGAAGTTACGCATACTTACTTAAAATATGTAATTTAAAACCGATTTAAATTAATTTTACACACTTTTTAAGGGATAATAGATATTCATATGAAATTCAAAATCTCACATACTTTGTAATCAATACAGTAAATATAATAAATTCCATCTAACACCAAAACGGTGGTTTTCCCAATTATTCTTATATCATATCTGTGCTTGGCAACAGACCATGTGGACCTTCATGAATGGCTATCCTCCATTATAATCTCTCAAGAAATTATTACGAAAAAAAAAAAACTTAGAAACAAAAATTAAATAACTTTGAATGTTGGAATGGATTCATCTACCATTAGAAAGTATGAGAAAATTGTCATTTACCCCAGGAATATCCGTTTTATGGCACTTTTCGAATTCCCCCGAAGTAAAAAGTTGTTTTGTCTGGTGCTAATTGTTTAGTGCCTCCAAGCAACAAACAGGATTACTTTTACTCAGTACATAATTAAAATAGACATGTAAAGAATAACTCAATTTAACTTAAAAATCCATCGCTTATTCATCATTAGTGAATTAAAATATTCACTCTTAAAACTCAGTTTTTTTTTACATTTTATTCCTTTGCTATGAATAGTGATTTATATTGCACAACTCCAAATTATACAAATATTTGTTGATATTGCCACCACAGGTGGGTTTCTGTGTCTGTTATGCTTAATGCATATGGCACATTAGCTGATGTTGGATCACAAGAAAATATAACAATTAGAACAGTGGAGATGGATACTTTTGTTCATCATAGTAGATGTAAACCAGTTAACAATGATAAAACATATTAATAATAACAATTACATAATTAAAAATTTAATAATGAAAATAACAAGCAAAAATATTCATCTACTTTTACATGTACTAGTATTTAGCACATTCCATTTAAAACTGAATACCCCTTACAATATAACATTTTAAAATTACAATAATTAAAATAAAAAATGACAGATTAAGAGTTATCCAAATTTTTTGACAATTTGTTAAAGCATCTTTAAAAATATCCAAATATATCAAAGTCACAAATAAATATCACAGCTACAACAAAAGAATGCTGCAAAGTATAACTTCAGATAAAAATCAACATTTTATATACATCAAAAATTGCATTCAAAAGGGGCCTCCCTTCAGGCACCCTTTAAAATATAAAATAACTTTCCAAGTAATTTAATAGTTTAAACTTAAGACCAATATTTAGACCGTCTTTAAATTATATCATTATTTTGTATAACAGGCCTGCAGTTAGCAATTTCAAAAGGCGCAATTCCTTTTTACATGGACCTTTATTATTTATGAACCACGTTTTAAGTGGACCTTTCACCTTGAAACCTTCTTGAACCCATGCTGTAAGAACAAAGAGTGTGTGTATGCTTGTTTTTATCATTTCTTAAAGGTAGCTGTGTGTTAGTAAACTGACATTTTAAACAGTGTTCACTTTGTTTATTACGCTGCATCTGCTGCTGTAATATTGACGTAACAGGGTGGAACAAAAGTATTTGCTAGGTGTAGTATGGCGGAGTATGTAGAGGCTATACCTCCAATGAGACCTATCAGAATGATTTCCCAGCACATCACTTTTACATGGAGTGGGACAAACCTGCAACAGAAATAGTGAAAACAAATTTGTACTGAATATTTGTTTGTAAAAAGTTGTATACACTGTTTCAGATAAATGAAACATGAATATTGTGCTGATCATGCCTTTATATCTGCAATAAATGATCTTATTATTAAAGTATTTCTTGTTTCTTATTATAAAAAGGCAAATGGTTGAATGTTGTCATGATAGATGGAAGTGTGAAAAAAAGCCACCTACTTTTCCCTCCAGTCTCCTTTCATAGCACAAAGTCTGAGGTAAAAGAATGGTGGGCAAATAAACGTCGTGAAGGTGACGGTGGACCCACCGACCAATGACAAGATGGCTCCAAAATGGGGGATACTCTCGGTGACAAACAGCACACACGCCATGACACAGGTCCGCAGTAGACAGCGCTTCCAACCAAACTCTGGATGAATTTACATTTTACAAACATTAAATAATGGTTAATAATTCTAAAAGCTTCTTATGGGCAAAAATGCATCCAATATTAAATAATAGTAAATAATAATAAAAACTTATTATGGGCGATTAAATCAAATATGCAGCTACACATATTTAAATGATAGGCAAATATATGAAGTTACAAGCAATTTTAACTTATAAATTTTATGTGACAAAGAAAGCGGTCAATTTCTCTGCTAACATACACCCATACCTCAGCAAAAAGACTAATTTTTTTTATCAAAAAAAAACAAAAAAAAAAAAAAAACTAAATCTCAGCTGACAGATCTACATGACTTACTATTGGGGACTCTGAAGATTTCCTCCAGCTCCTGCAGGAAAGGGTTCAGTACCAGAACCAAGCCCATCATCAGGTGAAGGGTCAGCAGTATCTCTACTATATACAGCATTGGACCTGGGGTTACAGAACGCAGAATGTTGTCATCCAGTTTGTGTCCAAGAAAGAAGTAAGCGACTGCAGAGACTGGGATATACATACAGAGAACAACTGTAAAGGAAGAGGAAATAAGATGTCAACTTTACACTGATGTATTACATCTGAGATTTGATAAAGGGCTGAGAGAATTTTACTTTTTAAATCTCACTGAAGTCACACTGTTCACTGTAAAAAGAGGCATTGGGAAGGGGTCTTCTGCCTCACATCAAAAGTCGCACATCAAAAATTACAATTGTGAGTGAATAAATGTACATATTCTCAGTGATGACTGTACCTCTATATTCTATCAATCAAAGTCTACTTTTGAAGAGCCATAAACATAAATTCCAGTAGCAATGAAAAGAAAACTCAATTACAATAATTAAAATCAAAACATTTTCCTTCTCAGTAAAACTCACTGCTGTATCCTATGGTGACAGACTTCCAAAATTCTTTGGGCTTTTTCATATCATGTTGGATGGTCGGGAAAACAGAGAGTCCCCCAAATGCAAACAGAATTGTTCCAAATGCCATGAAGAATGAGGTAAATCCCACAGGGTCATGTCTGACCGTCACACTGGCCACCTGGTTGTGGTCCACAATTAGATTGGCAGTGAGAATGACACAGGCTATGGCAGTGGCCCCCATAGCTCCCATTGCTATAGGCCTGGAGGAAAAAATAATAGAAATATTAAATATAAGATTGGCAGTGAGAATGACACAGGCTATGGCAGTGGCCCCCATAGCTCCCAATACTATCTTACTGGACAAAAAAAGATGGCTATGCAGAAAAGTGGTACAAGAAAAACTTTAAAGACAATTGATTTGGCACATGTATATATCTTACTGGTATTATTGCGGTAACTACAATTTTACAAAGAATAAAATGTATTTTGGATGCAAATGCTGTAAAAATCAAATAACATTATCTCATGCAATAAACAATACATAATTATGTCAGGGAGGTTCATAACATATAAAAGCTATTGCTTTACTTCTAAAAGTTTACCAGAAATCTTTTGGTGTCCCCAGCCAGGTAAAAGGTGTTAAAAACCCAGCAATCAGAAGATTCCAGTAACAGAATGAAATCTCTGTGTGTCCTATATTCTCGGCCAATGATTGAATGTTTTCTGCTGCCAGTAACAGGAAGACCACACCCACTCCAAACAACTGGACATTATTGGCAAAGGACACTGAATATCTGTAGAGATATTGAGAAAAAAAGATATATTAATGAAATATTTTACTATTGCCTATACTTCTATGACTTTGGCATATACTTAAAAAATTACCAGTACTGTACATAGTGATAGCTACTGAGTTGATACTGTATCTTTCAACAGAAAATGAAATAAATTTTCACTGTTCAAATTAATCTTTTATCAATAATAATAATAATTTTGTAATTTCTTGTTTAGTTGTGCACATTTTACAAGCCGTACAATCTCAATAAACATAATGATACGAAGACTGGTAATAAAATAAATAAATTAAAGAATAAATTGAGAGCCTAAAGTGAAAACTACTGTAGTCAATATAAACCACATTGAACAGATGTACTGGTAGTGCAGTGTTTCTGTTAATATATTGCTGAGTTTGTACTTGTACATACTGTTGTATGGATGTTTTCATTGTAAGTTACATAACATATATCAAGGTACATACATGTAAAAGTTAGCATGCAAATACAAAAAAAACAAAAAACTACTGATAAAAATAAGCATGCTGGCAAGCCTTGTATAAGTATGAAACTGTAGTTGTACTGTAGATATCTGATATTATCACTTAATGTGCAATAATATTTAGGCTTAATATGCAAAGTATCCATGATACATTTAAAACAAAATCCAGTTTTTCTTCAACATAAACTTGGATCCATCATAACAATAACTGAAAATTCATGTATCACATAAAAAGTGATTTCAAAGCACCACTTTAAAGCCTGTATTGCATATGAATATAATTATACTGTGCCACGCAAAAACTAATTTTTAAAAAGCAATAATTTCAAACTCTAAAATTAAATAAATACATACTGTCACTACAATAAAACATAAGCAAAACAAGTAGATAACATATCCATGCACACAACACAACAAACACGAACCATGCTCATGCTAAAGATAACGAAAAAGTGAAATCACAATTATCTTAACTCTCTCTGTTAAATATTTAATATAATACAATATACTGTGGTATTATATACTTACAAATCAAACCAAACTAGAAATATAACGAAATTGAGACTGATCTTAGGCAAACTTCATCAATTTGAAAGTAGAGATTATTATCAAAGAAATTATTACAAATGATGATTATTTACTTTTAACTGAAATTTGAAAAAGAAAACAAGTGGCACAAGTTACAACATAATTTTAACCATGATTTATGGAAACAGGTCCTGTGCATCTGTAATTATTTATTTATTATAATCATTCCCATTATGAAATATGTCTATTGTAACTGTGTATGTGTACTGGGGTCACTTACTTTCCCACTTTCCCCATGGCCCTGACACCAATAGAAGTATAGGGGTCTCTGGTGTCAGAGCGGTACTCCTCCCATCTCTCCTGTAGTATAATCCAGCACTGGCCCAGTAATACCCCGCAGTAACCAGAGATAAGACAGCACACAAAGATCATCACTAAACCAAACCAACCTAAAACAAGTGGAGAAACAATACTGAAAAGTAACTTCAATTGTTCATAAAAATATTGATTATTTTTGAGCATTTTAATACAGTCTCTGCTTTTCTAGCAATTCGATCTTTTTTTTCCTTTTTGTTTATTTTAAGTGTTGTAGGTCTCATATGATAGCATCAAGTTTAATTTTTATTCTGGCTATGTACTCAAGTGCATATTCAAGACAAATACATGTATATTAGTAAGCAATTTAGCATTGCCAAATAATGGGACAGCTTTATAATATCTTTAATTCATAAAATTCTAAAAATATCCAATTCAGAAGCTGGGGTTAGCAGTTATGCCTCAGATATTTTCTACTGAACCCCCGTTTACCTACCAGAATTCTCTACTGCCCTTGGCAGTGCCAGCACCCCACTCCCTGCCATTTCTACTATATAACACCATACATGTATATACTTACCTGAATTCTCTACTGCCCTTGGCAGTGCCAGCACCCCACTCCCTGCCATTTCTACTATATAACACCATACATGTATATACTCACCTGAATTCTCTACTGCCCTTGGCAGTGCCAGCACCCCACTCCCTGCCATTTCTACAATATAACACCATACATGTATATACTCACCAGAATTCTCTACTGCCCTTGGCAGTGCCAGGACACCACTCCCTGCCATTTCTCCAGCTATAAACAAGCATGCTGTGATCACTGTCAGTCCATGGTGTGCCTAAGGACAGAGGAGACTTACATTGTACATGTAACTCCCTGGGTTAGTTCACAGTTCTAGTGTATGTATATGTCACTTGACTGTAACTATATACACAGTAACACAAATATATTAAGACTCAAATTTAAAATAGCACAAAAATTCATGCGTTAGCACACCTGTTGATGGTTCTGATATACACTGGCTGTGCTCAAGAACCGTTAATAGGAGTGCTAATGCACGAATTTTCACACTAATCTAAAGTAAAATATTGCACGACTGCAGTTAATTTTTAAAGTTTGGAAATCACTCCTGTTTGAGACACATCGTACTGATCTTCTATACATATATACTGGGTAGGTGGCTCAATTTATAACATATCCAAAATAAATTAATTGCTTGTTGGAAAAGGTCGTTAACAAGCTCCATTTCTACATGTTTCCTCTCCTTTTTAATAGATACTATAAAATGAAAATGTCTATTTAAAAATTACAGATATATGCATAATGTATTTTATAATTTATGGATTGTACAGGTCAGCATGTATAGCGTTCAATTGAGATAATAATAAGTTAATAATTCAACAACATTAAAAGCAATGACAAGATCACAAAGTGCAAAAGAAACACATCAGGAAGTCTCTTGATTAAAAAAAAACGTTTTTCTCAAATGACCGGGGTTAGTAGGGTACTTGGGTACTAGGGGACTACAGCATGTGAACTAACATGTCCCGCAGACGGATATTCTGCTTTGTCTTCAGCTTGGATTTCGGGAGCCCCCCACGATACCGTTTCCCCATTGATGTTCCTCGTCACGTCCACCAAGTGCTCTTTACTTTCTCCTTCCATCGTTATGACATGATATGATTCAGTATTTACATAAATGGTACATAAAAATGCTTTTTATGGAGTAAGTCCAACGGCACTTCCTGAACTTCGCCACTTTCGTTATTTACATCATATGATAAGTCACATGACTGTCACATGACTTGTAATGCAATAATCTGTCCAACATGGCGGCGCCCACTATCGTCTTGCCTCAGCAATGACACAAACCAAAACAAAAAATCCAAGCCGTGGTATGTTTTGATTAGTTGCAAACATGTTTTTATTCGAAATTAAGATCGCATACACTCTATTTTTTATACTTTATTAAAACTTAAAAAGAATTTTCATACTTGAAGGTCAATCGCGAAAAAAAAAAAGAGGCTTTGGACTTAGGCCTAATTCTGACGTTTTGTACTTGCATGTGTGTGTATATATATATGTGTGTGTGTGTGCAAGTGTGTGTGTGTGTGTGCTTGCGTGTGACGTCAGCTGTACAGGTGTAGGAAAGAGGTCTGTTGAATGTGATGACACTCCATACTTAACCTATATAAACTGATCGAGGAATGTGTGTAATGAAGATAAATGCAAACGGTGTCAGAATACCATAAGCTACATTTGTAGATAAGTAAGAGCTACCCCGGTGGGTGTGGGTGCACAATACCTATGTCTATTTAATTAAATTTATTAAAAAATACTTAAGGGATTGCGATCATTCCTTTTTACATTATGGTAGGCTAGTTGGGTATTTTAAAGTCATTTTATGGTATTTTAGATTTTTAGATTCTTTAACTGATCCAGGTGACAAGCTAAGTGGGATTGGAGTTATATGCAGCTTAAAAGTTCATGCATTACTATTATTGCTTGTCTCTGATATGCACTATTTGTGCTATACATTAGTGCTTTATTGTTTTTATTTCTTTTTTCTTTATCGTTCTTTTACTACTGTATTTACTTGCATTCAGCATGTATTTACAGGTAATATGGAATCTGAATCATTCTTGGAAGAAAATTACTCTTAAAAAAAGGAACTGACAGTGATACTGGAACATTTGGAATATTAAGATGCTGCTAGGAAAACATCTAAGAATGGCTTCAACTTTGTGTAAACACTTATCACTGACACCAGTGTTAACAAGACAGTACACCCTCTCTAATGTTAACACCAGACTCTTGGTGTCAGGATCACAAAGATCAGCTTTGTGTCACAAAAGGACTCTTGCAGAGCAGTCAAAGAAACAGACAGATGTTTCTGCAGGTCTTAGATATCAGCAGCTGGGACATCGCGGGTTGATCCGCTTTGCCGGCCCAGACTCAACGCAGTTTCTTCAGGGACTCATCACTAATGATATGAACTGCCTTCAGAGAGAGTTGGACTGTCATAAGATGGCACTGTATGCGTTTCTGTTGAATGTGAAGGTAAGCACATGTATTACTGTTTTCTTGTAAGTGTTGTTTTATTGCATGGTCAGTTCTTAAACTTGTGCAGTGTACTGCATGCTTGTATTTGGATTTTCTTAATTACACAATTTAGCTAAAAAAAGGTTTTAAAAAGGATTGTTGCAAATAAGCAGGAATGGTTCATATAAATATTCAAAATGTTTTTTATTCCAATTAAAATATATTAAAAGATTTAATTCACATATCAGTCAATTGATTTATACATGAAATAATTCTATGCATGTTGAATTTGACCAAACATATATCATTACAGAATGTGAGATCATTTTACTTATGTGGTTTATTCTTATATTACACAGTTTATTCATGAACATTCAACATGTATTATATATTATGTTAGTATGCAAGGTCAGCTAGGATAGACTTACAAAGTATGTAGCTACATCGAAGTTATTTGTATGTATTACAGGGTCGTGTGGTATGTGACATGTTTGTCTACAACATCAGTAAAGCCCCTGATACACACATCTATCTGCTGGAGGTGGATACAGAGTTGGTGGACGAAGTACACACTACCATGAAAAAATACCGCCTTAGAAAGAAGGTGAGTTGATCCCATTTATGAAGTATATTTAGCAGGTTGGCAGTTAGGGGAAAAAAAGAAAGCTTTGACAGAAAAATACCCCCCCCCCCCCCATAAGATTGCTGGTTACGGGGTGCCTGTTAAAGGTGCATGGTTGCAGTGTTTCATTCTCAAAATACCTAATTTATTAAATCTGAAATTTTCATCTTAGGGTGGTACATATACATGGAATATTAACTGAATGATTAAACCTGAAAACAAAGATAACTGATCATCATAGTTGAGTGAAAAATGGGAAAAGCATCGATCCACAGTACATTTAATTGGTCAGAGTTGTTGATTCTGGTGTATAAAATACCAATAGAGTTTTTGGTTTGTTTTTTTGAAAAACTTACAGGTTGTCCATTTTCTTCTACAGGTTGACATTGCTGTAACAGACGAACTGAAAGTAGTGGCAGTATTTCCTGTTGAAGATGGACCTTTTGATGCTGAGCTTACTATAGGTAGCACTGACGGTGCACCGTTAGTAGCCGTTGAGAAAGACCCCAGACTTACCGCCATGGGCTACAGACTGGTCCTGCCAGCTTTTGATGATGGTCAGTTATGTGATTTATTTTCTTTATTGGTAAATCTTTAAATATATTTTTGTTTGGGGATAAAACACCTTGATAATTAATAAGCACAAGTTGTTTTTGCATCGCATCATGTAAAAAAAATGTAATATATCAAATATCACTTGATAGACAAAAATGCATACAAAATTTACTGATATATTTGTTAATGAAATTGAAATAAATTGACAATTGCTTCAAATTGATACTGTGTAATTTTTAGTATGGATAAGATTATTTGTGTAACTTGTCAGTAAGAATGCTTTAAATCCCAGTGAAAATCCCAGAAAATGCACCAAATCAGCAATGGATTCACCTGCCTCTGCTTGCACTGTTCTTTTATTAGTAACACCTCACCTGCCTGATGTGAAGGAAGCAGACACCCCCACTGCCTACCATGTGAAGAGACTCCGTCTTGGAATTGGGGAGGGACCCACGGATCATCCGCCAGGAAAAGCACTGCCACTGGAGTGTAATGCTGCATATCTACATGGAGGTTGGTCTGCGCGCGTGTGTGTGTGTGTGTGTGTGTGTGTGTGTGTGTGTGTGTGTGTGTATGCTTGTGTGTGTCTGACTGCCTCTGTCTGTGCATGTATGCCTGTGCATGTGCGTTTGCTTTTCATTAGTGGACATTATCTTATTTTCCTTATCAGAATGTAGTTTTCAAGAAATCATGTCTTACATATGAGGGGTATATGTTGTATCATCAAAGCTGGGTTGTTATTTGGTCAAAGCCTACATCTTATCCAGCTGTCTATAAAAAAGGGGGAATTGTCTAGTAGAAAAGCAATGTTGCTTTCACCTGGAATGAAACTCATGAAGTGGGTCTCAGATCTGTACAACATTTCATCAGATTTTATTCTTACTATGTATGTAACTGTACATGTATATAATGATTGCTTTCAGTGAGTTTTGACAAAGGCTGTTATATTGGTCAAGAGTTGACTGCCAGAACACACCACACAGGCATGATAAGAAAGAGAATCATGCCTCTTCTGATAGATAGGTAACAACACATTGAAAATAATGTCAAAACTTGTTTTAAAATTTTGGAATTAAAATGTGTTTATAGATCATTAAAATAGTATAGTAATCTGCAAATTAACACTACACTACATGTTTTCTTTTCCCCAATTTTCCAAATGCATGAAATTTTGTTAATTATAGTAAAAAAAACTTTGAAAAAAATGCATTACCCTGTACATTAACTTTAAAAAAAAACATCAAAAACCCATTTTAATTATTTCCAGTCAAAGCTCTGTTGACTTGCAGGCGGAGGATGTTTTAGTTAATTCAGATGGAAAAGAATGTGGGATATTTCGCAGTGCTATGGGACAGAATGGACTTGGACTAATGAGAGTGGACGAGGCTAAAGGTCCCTTAACTGTCAGACGTAAGGGCACAGAGAAGTCGGATGTAAAAATGATTGACGGTGTTACTGTTACAGCTCAGCAGCCATTTTGGTGGCCTAGCAGTACCTAGCTTTTCTCTACTGACCGTGTCAGTACATTGTGTTCCCATTCTTTTACAGCTGTGACAAGAATAAACTGTTCATAAATTACGAGGAAGTTTCAGGAGTGTTTTTTTTTATTCAGTTAAAAGTTAACATGAGAATGAATAAAAATGCTCTCGATCAAGTTGCCAGAATAAAGGATTTTGGAAAACTTTAAGATGGCTGTTAAATATCAATTTTTTGCACATACGCCTTCATTCGCGGTAACATCGAATCTTGTTGCTCATGAAATGTTATTTTGACAAAATCTAAATTAATCTGTAACAGTGAGAGAACTGGCTAACCGCAATGTAAGCGAGTTGTTGGACCTCTGTCCTGGCGCCACTACCACAATTCATAGGGACACCTGCCGCAACCTTTCCATTCTAAAGAGTTTACATAACTTAGGCTCTATTCCTATAGATTTTAGATCGATCTATCCCCGCGGGGAGTCTCACTGGATTATTTTCAGATAATCCGGCTTAAATGTCCGTCCCGCCTACTACAAGCTGTAAGGGGGCAATTAACTTTCGTGTCCGCCCGGCTGACAGCTACTTAGCGTGAACCCCCAGGGAGTTAGGTCGATCTAAAGTAGGTCGATCTAATCTATGGAAATGGGGTGTAAAAGAGGGCTTTTTGCTGTAGAAGTATACAGGCCCGTAGTCAGGGGGGCTCGAATGAACCGCCCCTTTTGGTGTGAAAAGGTCTACTCTGGGTAAAATTGGATCTAGGTTCATTAAGTTTTTATGGAAAAGTCCACTTTTTCAGAAAAAGAACCCCCCTTTTGAAATTGCTGGCTACGGGCCTGATATATATATATATATATATATATATATATATATATATATATATATATATATATATATATATATATATATATATATATGATAATTCAAACCTTCGGTCAGTAAAAATTCAAAACTGACTTTCAATTTCATACGTTTTTAATCACTGTAGTTTATTTGTTAAAAGCTGAACCTAATAGTTTTAATAGCCCCAAATATGTTACGTTAAAATATCACACAGGCGGGGGAGGAAGCAAACGATGTGGCACTGGATAGGTTGATTTTTTATTTATTTTGTTTTGGGGGAAGGGGGTCGTACAGGGTTCTATTTGATAGTACATTTGAATAATTGAAATAGTCGCACTTGGAATGTGTAGCCAGTAAAAATGAAGGTGTTTGCTTTCTCACACAATACTGTCGAAAAAAATTAATTTGCCGTCACCTTTCAACCTTTCAATCAGTGGTGATAAGAAGTTTGAATAACTTTTCAATTACTTTTTGCCTGGGCGGAAAGAATTATGTAAGCAACGAGAGGTCATGTGAAAGGTTTGACGCAGTAAATTTACCGAAATTTGGAACAGAAATGAATCAACGCCTGAATTTTGTATTGAATAGATGAAGAAAAGTAAACATCATTTCGGCAAAACACAAAATACAGGGAACGGGACTTTTATTCTGGGGTTTGGCAGTAATGCTTCACATAATTTGTCCTGGCAAAATACTGTTTCTTCGGGGACCTCTTGTATGTTTGTTGTCCTCGTGGTCCGGAAGCGACCTTTGAATAACTAAGCACCAGTGGCAATAACAAATGAAGACTTAATTTTCTCATATTCAGACACGCTCCCGTCAAATATTTGGACAGGGAAAATGTGACGTTTTTCGCATGCCTCTGACAAACAAAAGCTGTAAATGATCTTTTAGTATATCCTTTTAATTATGTGTACACCAATTAAAAAAGAGAACCTGTTGGTGATTTTCTGTTGGCGACCCATTACCTATGATTGCTCTCTCTGTCGCCGGTCAATATTTGCGAGAACTGTCCAAAGAATGGCTTTAAAATGTGGAGCTAAACATCATAATTAGTATAGTCTGTGTGCTGGCCCTTGACGACAAACAGGTAAATGTTGGTCTATTTCAACCTTATTATGTATTATGATAAAAACTATTTTTAAAAATCAATGCTCATCAATAATGCAGCCAGTTTTATTAACGTTGCTAGCAATCTAGTTTACCTAATATTTATATTATATATACTTACGTTTATAAACTCGGTATTATGTTTTTCTATGAACCAAGAACTTATAGAAACATGAAAAGTAACACCGAGAACAGATAATAAGATAGGTGTTTCTGTGGTATATCATGTTATTTTATTAAATCGTGATTTGTTGTACGTCCATCAAACACGCCACTTTTATTAAGAAAAAAGATACATGTAATACAGAGTTTTTATTGATAACATTTATATGTATTGCGGTTGAAATAGAAACCCGTGTGCCACATATTGCATTATGGTAATTAATCTGATGTCACTGGAAACGCATGCTGTCTTTTATTTTTTGTTCATTCTTCTACTTTTATCGTTTTGCTATTTTAACTTCTTCCCATCTCGTCTTTCAAGGTTATCATGATATCAGTTACTTTTATTAAAAGTGTTTCACAAAATAATATTTTTTCAAGTATTCATCACAAGGAATTATTGAATTTCGATTGAAATAGACTCAGATGTTTTCATTAATTGCGTGATTTTTTTTCTGTGATCTAAAAAAAGGATTCCCGCCATTTACGCAGGCAACAATGACGTTTTGTCCTTTATTTTTGGGGCCTTGTCGCTATTTTTCTTTTCTTTTTCATTATTTTTTTGCACTCCGAGACATTACTCTTGACGTCGTTTACCAAATTGAGTTTATTAAAGAGAAACTTAACACGTGTAAGTGCCTATAGTGTAAATGTTCAGAATTTATCATCGTAACACGTACCTGGACAGGCAGGTAAATACCAAGTGATAACGACATTAGTTCTGATTATTCAGAGATGAAAGGTAATCAAGTACGTGAACTGATACACAATTCAGTTGGACTGACAGGTGCAAGAATACCGCTCAGCCTCCATACATCAGTAGACCTTTTAATATGTTTTAACTGTATGTCCCAAAAGGTACCACACACCTAAATATCTATAGAACTGGGCCGTGGTTTCTTCCAATGTTTCTAAGGTCGTATATCGATCATATTTTTATATTCATAATTTCCAGTCCATTACCCCGGGTGTAGCAGCTCGCACCAATTAGGGATACACAAACAAACACGTCAAACATGCTTTCACGACATGAACACCTTCCCCAAAGGGAAAGACTTGGGGTTATATCACATCTCCCCTATCCTTATTGATATTGGGGAGTAGTAATAGTGCTGCTAATCAGTCTGATTACCTTAACGATCTACATTAATTGAATTTAATTCCCTGCTATTACCAATATATTAGGATATTTTTCTCGTTAGAAGATGCCCTGTGGAGAGCGTTGTGGAAAGGAGGAAGAGAGGTTGATGTGAAGGTAAGAGGTGATATGGTTCTTGTTTAGTACTTATGTCTAAGTTTCACTCAAAAAACAAGGCGTCCATTTGAATAAAATTCTATCGAAATTTCTTTTCTCTTGGTATAATAGTATAATCATTGTTAAGCACCCTTAGTGTTTTGGTCGATTTCTTTTGAAATCAATGATATGGGATAAAACCCGTAAGAGGGAAGGTGTTAAGGGTTAAAATAAAATCCTAGAAATCCAATGCCCTTAGAAAGAAAATAGCATTGTGAAAACGTCCAGCATCTGAAAGGCAGCTGGGACAACATTGTTAATGAAACTCCAAGCAAAAATAACAGAGCGTGCTACCAATTAGCGCGATAAACTCGTGAACTCGCCACAGAAAATGCAGGAGAGATCGATTACTCCCACCCTGGAATAAAGTTAAATTGCAATCAACTAGCGATAGAATAGAAAAGACACCCCTTGTCTCCACGGCTTGAATTAATAATACAACGTCGCTCGAGGAAATGATACCGCTGCGAATTCCATTAAAACTGAGTTGAATGCCGGTGAAGTCCGTTGCTATTAGCTACGTTCAGACAGGACCTCTTTGACCGGTATTAAGTTCACTGGCGTCATCGGGTGAGAAGATTACAATGGGACAGTGGGGTTGATCAGTGACGCACTTTGGGCCGATTTCCGGTTTCATATAGGCCAGTTTGAACACACACAGGAGGCGTATTGATGAAAACTGGGCGGAAGACTGATGTATAAGTAATAAAGATATCGTGCTTAATTCAGTTTTCAAGAGTCAATGTCAACTTCTCAATTCTCAATTTACGACCGATTTCATTATTGTTATACAATATCATTCTTTATGCGTTCGATGCGTTTATTTGAGACGGAATGTAATATTGGAAACTTCCATTAGTAAGAGTCCGGTTTTTATTTAGACCATTCTATTGGAAGATAAAAGGTGGGATACAGCTCGATTAAATATAAAAAATGCCATACAATTAAGCGAGAAGAGGATAACATTTCAGCGCGTTCTGACAACAATTGACCGTTAATACAATAGCATTAGGACGGCGTAGAATACTGTTCTGTAAATCGACATGATTTCAGCCATTACTTGTCAGCAAACACGACGTGAGGTTCAGTATCAATAGAGCGAGCTGAACAAATACTCCCCGGGGGAAGGCTGGGGAGGCTTTCTTATACAGCAACTGCTGCTGTCGTCAGTGCATCGCAACAGGCTCTAATTTAGAAGCCATATCGACGTAATGAAACATTTACATTGTTGTGGACACGGAGTCAACTACACAGATTGACTTAGGAAAAGTCTCTAACCAAGTCACTGCGCCAGGTAGCCGGGTACCTAACTTCGAGTTGACATGTTAAAACTTACGAGGTATTTAATTTTGAGGATAATGTTTCACTCTTTACAGATGTGATGCCACGAGCTGTTTTGGAGGTTAAAGTGGACGAGAGGACGTTCCAGAAAGTGAAATGAAAAGTGAACACTGGGTGTCTTTTATCTGGTAACAGTCACGCACCACCAAAGCACATGGAGTTAGAAGTAACACTGAGCTCACCAGTACCTTTCCGGACAACAAACCAGAGCCGCGCACCACAAAGAGATCTGTTAGCAGACTAGGTAAGAAGCTATTTGTTTCTTGATGGGATTCTCATAGTAAAAACATAATTTCAGACAACTTGGGCTAGATTGTAGTCGGCTAGTGAAAGATATTTATATACCATTCGCCATGTTAGTTGAGAATAGATAGTGGCAGTGGCCACTATCTGTTGGTGTAGATAATTCATTATCATGATAAGTTAAATGTCTGCAAATTTTGCATGTTGCTTGATGAAAATTGATCACTGCTAGGACACACACACCGTGATGGCGGATCAGAATAAGGAGATACGTTAACGGACTGTTGTGATAACTAGAAGGACTGAGGCATGCTTACTTTTAGGAAAAATACTTACATTCAGTCTGTCTACAGTATATCGCTTTAAAAACAAGATAAACTTTTAAAACATTTTATGACAAAAAATGATAATAATAAAAAAAAAGAAAAGAAAAAAAAGAAACCCGACAATAAGGAACTAAATTCCGGGAATTATTTGTGTGTGATACGGGGTAGTAAGTTAGGCATTTCGGCGAAATGCGTAAAAAAGTCTAGATAAGGAAAAAAGATAAAAACAAGGAACAAAATTGTTTCAGAAGCAGATGCCAAGTATATATATTTTATGTCGTAGATCGAAAATACATCAACCAAGTAGGTCTCGAATTGTAAGTTTTGCCTGTGTATTTCCCCGGGTCGTACCTCTAATAAACACACCATTGAAACTGTAATTCTCACGTTATGGATCAGCGCAGTGTAATGTGCCACAGGATCACTGTAAATGTAGTACATTTATACTGAATCTGTGGGCAGAAGTCTTGGATCACTGATATTTAATTGGAAAAGAAATTAACTTGCTGTAATTTTTGCACCGGGACGTCCTTGTTTGTATATGTTTTTTGTTGTCTAAACGTGTTCACATTTATTTTTCTGTTGTTGTCTGATGCGATTATTTAAATTATATCTGCAGCCATTTTTGCGTGTATCTTTTTAATAACTGGTATAAATCTAGTTACGAAATTTTCACAGGTAATAGTTTTTGTCGGGGGGTGGGGGGGGGGCGGTGGTGTATTAAAAATCACTGTTAAGTTTTCTGTGAGTGCAATAATTCGCCGGAGTTAATGTGTTCTCATTTCATTACGATTGCAAGGCGTTTAAGTATTCTCTTTCTCTTTTGATTTTATTTCTAGCTGCAGCGTCCAATCCGTCGATGGCCGCAACAAGCACCTGCAGAGCCTGACGAAAAAGGCACTCAGTTAATTTCTTGCGGTGTCCGCCATGCCGCCCAAGGTGGAGATGCGGAGAAAACCGGACCGGCTGATGGTTGTAAACCGTCGAAACCGAATGGAAAACGTGCGCTTAGAGCAACGAGTGAAGGTCCTGGAAAAATCCACCACCAACAGCTCCCTGGAACTGACCAAAGACATGAAACAGATCGAGTCCGGGATTAACGCCATGAAGCAGACGACCGGAAGAAGCGCTGAGGGCCTCCCGCCAGATAGCGCCCAGGATAAGACACACACGAAGTCGGATTACTTTCGTTTCGGACCGCGGATCAGCGCGCGTCGCTTGCACAAATGGCACACTAAAGAAAAAGAGTTGAGTAAGTTTCTACAGAGCACCAGCGTTGCCACAGAAAGCATAGTGAATGACAAATCCGAGGCAACAAAAGATACGATAGATGAAGAAGAAGAAAACGACGAGGATGATGAAGACAACCGTGCCCCGTCAGTGATAAATTCAGAGCCAGTGACTGTACGCAATACTTATTTAAATCGACGCAAAAGTCTCAGTTGCACCGACGTTTTTCACGCGATTCGCCCAAATGTACAACTGTCTTCCTCGCCTCGTGATCGCCCACCTTCAGCTAACAATGTGTGCTCTAAAGAAGAAACGCACAGAGACAAATTCTCCATATCGGAATGGGAGAAAAATGTAATACAAAATTACACAGCTGTGTTGACGAAACCCGTGAAAGTTAAAAGGACGTTCCGCAGACCCCTTAGCGCATTTTTGCCATCGGGTGAATTTCGTCCCCAGTCGGCGTGGTCACGGTCACCAAGACGGCCCAAGTCCGCTCCGCCGACGTCTCAAACCGACGTGCAACATAGGACGGGTAAATCGTTATGGGGGATAGCCAAAAATACATTTTGCAAGGAATGGACGGTGGGTGGTGAACCGCAGGTTTCAGAAAACAGCACAAACACTCCAATTATGTCAGACGACCCCAAGGTTCGCTTGGCCAACGTGCGTGCCCACTACAACGGGGTTTCTAAACGTTTCGCCAAGAAGAGTGCGGAGCGCGAGGAAAAACTTTGGATTGAAATACAGAGGAAAGAATCTGGACTTTCGTGGTTTACTTCCCCGAAACCTGAAGGGAACGCTGTGTTACAGAACTATTTTGCCAGAAAATTTGCTCAGCATTTAGCATTTAGTGCATTTTCGCAAACTACGCCGACGTCGGGCGGTTCAGCCACGGAGTCTGCGCAAACGTCAGGACAGAATGTTAAAACGCCTTCTGCACAAAACACGACTGTGTTAACAAACGAGAAGACGCCAGATGAAAACGAAGACAATGACGCAACGAAAAATGGAGGCGGTTTTCGTCTTCAGAGGCGCATAACAAAACTTATGAAGGACTGCGGTACAAATGAAAGCGCTGAGAAGAAAACTAAACCCATGGCTCTATCAAAATCGGCAAGAAAACGTGAACTGGAGCAAATGGTGACGGAAAACACAATGGACGTGAAACAGATCGCTAAAAAGGAACAGTCGCGTAGATTACAGTCGCGCGTGTCCATGATCATGGAAATGTTCCGTCTGAGCAATGCTTTTGGTGGAGGAAATAAGAATAAAGATGATATTGCCCCGTCATCTACCTCGGAGAAAAAGACAGATGATAATAGTTTGAACAAGGTTGCTGCCTTACAAGCATCAAATGCTAGCTCATAGTATATACATATGTACCGGGGTATGACGCATTTCCATTTACATCTTACGGTCAATTAAAACATAACGGCAAATATTTGTGCAGACTTCGCATTCAATAAGGCAGGGAGATTTCAAATATATATAAAGGTATTGATATGTAATCCAATCCAGGTTCCCAGATTCTTTATATGTTTAGTGATGTTATAANCATATTGATTATCACTAGCTGCCCAAGTTTCAATTAAGCCAACTATTGCATATTTTTCTATCAGTATCTTTGCGTCCGCAGTACAGCTCGCGAGGCCGTGTACATTCCATGACACAATGCCCAAAGTTGAGTCCTCAGTGATGAGCTTTCCGCACTCGTCCTATCCATTGGAGCCTCTTCCGCTGGAGAAACTCGGTCCACCGCCTCGCCCTTGCCCGCGCCCGCGCTGCGTCCATTATGACAACCACCGTGATCGCCACTATCTGCCGTTGGACTTCTCTGTCTAGTAATACGTTCAGCATTCGGGTCAAAAGGTCGATTGTCTATATAAAGTTTGTCTACCTTCAGTACAGCCTCTTTATCCTGTCTCTTGGCTTCCTTTAGGTGCGGAATCAGCATCTTTCTCCGTTCGTTGACTTCCCTGGGGAATTGTTCATTGACTCTGTATCGTTTTCCTTTCAACGCACGTGGGGCGGTTTTCCTGACCATCTCCTTGTCCTTAAATGACCCAATCCTGGCGATGATCGGTCTGTGTTTCCCTGGTATGTGCTTTCCCATACGGTGAACATTTTCAAATTTTATTTCATCAGTAATTCCCATTTCTTCCGATAGGAATTGCTTAATTGCTTCCTCGGGGCTCTCCTCTCGATTTTCCGGTATGCCGTCAAAGATTAAGTTCTCCCTCATGGAGCGGGTCTGTAACTCAAGATGTTTCTGTTTCAGTTCACTTAGGTCCTCTCTCAATCCAGCTATCTCCGTTTTTGAGATTGCATTTTCTTCTTTCAAATTCCTGAATTTGTCATCTAGCTTCTTTACAGCGCCCTCTATTTCCTTTACATTTGTCTTATTGTCCTCACATATTGTATTGATGAGTATAAGGCCATCCTCCATCTCGCCGATTTTTGTATTTGCCCCCTTCAGATCACTAGTGACATTGCTCATTGTTAGCTCCAGTTTGGTTAACCGTTGGTCTATGGAATCCAGTTTATTCAGCTTTGTATTCATTGCATCCATTTTCAAAGACAGCGATGATATTAAGGAAAACAGATCGCCTTGCGGGTTACTGCTGCTAGTAAGAGGCAGTGATCGCATAGGTAGGCCTATTGGGCTTGGTGGAAAAAAAACCGTCATCTGGCCCTGTGGGTATATTCGTGGTTGATCAGTCATTAGTGGAGTTGACTGAAGATACGTTACGTCACTTACAGAACTGGTAGCACCTAAGCGTAATTCAGTCGGTGATTTCTGTTCAGTTTGAGAACTACTCACTTTATTCACTTTGTTTTCCTTTTCGCCACTCAGATTAGGACTTTTGTTCTTCCTTTTTCCTTTCTTTCCGCTCCTTTCTGTTTAACTCACGTTCTTCCTAGTGTATCTACACGCTCCCCGAAACTCTTGCACTTCCTGCACTTTATCGCTCATAGAACTCCAAAAGTATCAGAGCACCAAAAAGTCAAATTGTTCCCTCCTCGCATGCGCAACACCTGATCAATGTTATCAAACAATCTGATCACCTTAAAGGCATTCAGTATCGTACACAAATCGTACAAGTAGACTATATATTAAAACATTGGGACATAAATCTCATTTAAAGCCAATTAAGAAACGACATAAAGCTTGATTTTATTTGATAATATGTTTGTTTAATGGATTTATTCAGGATAGATAAAAAACAATATTTGGAGTGGAACCCAACTTAGTTTTATATTTGCACTGTGTCCAAAATACGTTCTGATTAATCACCATCAATGATTTTTTTTATTTATTTATTTATTTATTTATTTTTATTTATTTATTTATTTATTTATTTATTTATTTATTTTGTTCAATCAAACAAGATGACAGTACCGTTAATATCTACTTTTGATATATACATGTAATTACTTAAATATTGATGGTGGTGTGTGCATGTTTTACGTAATTTTGCAGGAAGCTAGAGAAAGCGAGATTCGAAGATTGAAAAGAACGCAGGATGAAATCGAGGCCGTAGAGAGAAGGGAGTCACTTAAGTACGACCCGGATTGGATAGCGGGACTTGTGACGGTTCGTAGCAAAATATTTCACTGTAAACAATTGACTTCGATTTTATCTTTACAGCCATGCCTGATTTTACATTTAAACGATAGACCATACGTTTTTCTACATGTTGTAAAACGACACATAGTGCCCAGCAGTGCTTATTTTTTTCAAATTATTACCTTGCTTTACAGTCTTCAAGCGGAAGAGTGGCCAAAACAAGTAAGTGGTGGATGTTGGGATATGATTCACAATAACCGAACAGTTAAATAAACGCATGCAGCTATGTATTCAAACACCGTGAACATGTCGAATATGTGCTGAAATGGCTTTCAGTTACATAAATAACAAGCAGATGGATATTTTACATTTTAGTATGCTGTTTAACGTACATAACGTATATGCGTTTAAATTAGTTTCCCTTTTCAATAGGAAACATTTGCTAAATATGATATTTACCGTCACCCGCACCATTGACTGAAGATATTTGGTTCTGCTACTGTTTCAGAAAAACCGACGAAATCAGTTAAGACAATGACGAGGCATTATAGAAGAAATAGGCAGGTGACCACTACAAGTGACAGCAGGGTAAGACCCATATATCGATTTACAGACTCGACATTTAACATGGAGTGTTTCACTTCCGAATGCACGCCCAGTAAAAACGTGTTCTTTTTTTCAAATGCTCAGTGCTTAATCTCGTGGAGACCATATATTGCTGACCTAGAAACCTCCCATGGTTCATGTGGAAAGTTGAATTACTTAAGCCTCAGTCACAACCGGACGTACGGATTTTAGGACCGTACCCTGCACGTCTCCTACGAATTTTGGGTGTAGTGGAGGTCGTGGGTCTCGTAGAGGTAGAGGAAAGCCTGCCTTGCGAGTCGCAAGGGCCACATGTGTTGTCCTTTCAAGTAGTGACGCTAATTGCAAGGAGCGATGGCCGTGGAAATTGCAATCATTTCTTGAGTTTGTCTTGCTTCCTACGTACGTGACACACTCACCACTTACGAAGGGAATGCAACGCACGGCGAAAGTGGTGTCATTTTACGTCAGTTTTGCTTCACACTTGCCACACACATTTGTGATGACGTACTCAAGGCGTACGTCAGTATTGCTTCCTGTTCTCCCCTCTTTTCTTCTTCCTCCTCCCTTTTTTCTAATATCTAAGCTTCTTTCTCTTGCCTTTTTGGAGGAATATTAGAAACTAAATTGAGCAAAAAATTGAAAATTTTGAAAATTGTTGCACACGTTACACAGTCTACGTTCATTGTAAAAGCCTAGGTCCCAACTACGTTTTGGGCGCACGGTTTTTAGGTTCCTTGCGTCCGGCTAAGACGTAGTTAGATCGCAGGGAAAAAATCAAGTAATTTGTGAAAAGCTGTTTGCGTCCTCCAAAAGTCGCGCGATGGACGTGCTCCTCACGCGCGAATTCCCACGTTTTCCCCATTTTTAGGAGACCACACGTAGCAATCCGTAGCAACCCGTACGTTCGGTTGGGACCTAGGCTTAAGACACGAGCTTGCGTCGTGAGCACGCCTTTTATACACCAGGCGTGGGGGTGACGCACGTGCGACGCATTCCCGATGTGATCTCGACTTTGTTCGTTAGTTGTGAAGCTGCAAAACCGGGATACTTTTACATTATTTTCATGAAGAGGTATTCAGAGGGTACCAAAATAACTTCAACCCACATCATTACTGTATTTAAAGAAATGTGCACATGTAAACATAACACAATTACACATTACAGTTTGTTACAGTGTATACACGTCTGTGCGCACTTTAAATCTGATGTTAATTAAACTGAGTAAGGGTTATGGAGTTCCGAGTGCCCATTACGCAACACTTCAGCTATGCAGAAAATTCCCACTCTTACTAATACGGTTTACTGTAACATAATTAAAGAGTAAGGGATTCTTTCCAGGATGCCATTAAAACTGGTCGAAGACCCCCAGAAACTATAGCATCAACAGAAACGGATCTTGGTCAGCCAATAACAGAAGAGGATCAGGAGGATCAGGCGGATTTAGAGCGACTTTTTAATGAAAAAACACGTGCGTTAACGTTCTTCCCTATGGCCCAAACATGGACGTTTGAAACAAAAATCCCACATTGAATTGGATATTAGGCTGTCATTACATGAATGAATTTTGCAAATATCGGTTGACACTTATCTGATTAACAATTAAGTCATCGGTCCTTTTTTTTTTTTTTTTTTTTTTTTATGGCGGGGGAACTATTAATGTGTGTAATATTATACTGTTAAATATGATATATAAAGTTGGTTGCTAAGTTAACTATTCTGTGCTGTTCGTTTTTTTTTTTTTTTTTTTTTTTTTTTTTTTTTTTTTTTTTTTTTTTTTTTTTTTTTTTTTTTTTTTTTTTTTTTTTTTTTTTTTAACTAACATGGCAATGAAGATATTTAATTCATAATTGCTATAACATCAACAGATAGGCTATTGTCAACAAATATTTTGCAGGTTCATTAGACACGATATTACCCTTTCCTTGTTCAGTATATAGCAAAGAGAGTTGACATTTACATCTAATTGAAAAATACATTTAATTATTTTCCAGGCAGATGGCTTCCATCAAAAGTTCCCGACTTTGCAGATGTCCAATCATCTGGAGCAACCCAAGATGAAGAGGCTGTTTGTACGCCATCCACTGCGGCGTTTGAGGACGAGCCTTTGGAAGAATGGATGATTCATGTTGCGCCACCAGATGAAGAAGAGGAAGTAAACATGCTAGATGAAGAATTCATGGAGAAGGACTTCAACGATGCTCTATACGCAGACCCATTTTTAGAATCTTTTGAAGATGATTATTTTGGCGACAATTTGTATGATTTTCACTCAAAGTTCATGCTGGAAAAAATATTACAGGGGAATCCTTCAAAATATAAACTCTGCACCCTTTACATAGAAACCAACCAGAAGGCTCATGCAATTCCGATAGGCACAAATGAACAAATACCGCGTATTGAACTATACGGCAGAACACGTTCTGGGCTTGCTTTTAATGAATCGGATGTTGTCGTTGAAGTGTTTAACCCACCTAAAAGAGATCCAATACCAAGCCATACATACAGAGGAAAAGTTATTGGTGTATGGTTCGAACCCCGTGTCAAAAAGTTCTCTCGATTTGCATGTACCATTGACGACTACAGCAGTAACCTTGCAAAGCCAATATGCCAGACAGTTCCTAAGATTAAGCTCCTTGGATTCCCTGACTACGTCCAGGAGAAAGATGAATCATATGTCCCTATATACTCTGTAGAATATAACGGCCAATTGAAATACAAAAAGAAGATGAAGATAGAGGCCAAATACAAAGATGACATCATACTCTTGGTAAGATACCTGAAATGGAAGCCCTTCCATGTTTTTCCTCTTGGGGTTGCTGTTGGTGTCTTGAAGGGTAGCGCATCACTAGAGAGAGAAATGAGGCTACTCATGATTCAACACGACCTTGTTAAAACGTTCCCAACACATGTTGCTGATCGAGTAAAGGCTTTGTCCAAAAAACACAAAAAAATCCCCGCGCGTGAGATTAAAAAACGATTGGACTACAGGGGCGTAGTGACCCTGACAATTGACTCCGCCGATACACGAGATATCGACGACGCATTGAGTGTTGAAGAAATAGGAGACGACATCACCCGCATCGGGGTTCACATCGCTGACGTCACGTATTTTGTTAAGAAGGATGACCTGATCGACAAAGAGGCTCGAGCACGAGGTGTCAGCTTTTATCCTCCCCATGATCAACCACGCATATTCATGCTACCGGATGAACTCACAACATCCATGTGTAGTCTCGTCGAGGGAGAAGATAGGCTGGCACTTTCAGTATTCTTTGATTTTGATAAAAAATTAAACAAGGTTTCCAAACATACCATTAAGAGAACGGTGGTGAAATCGAAACAGAAATTATCCTATGAAGAAGCAGAGGACATACTGTGCGGGACAGGACTTCCAAATGAAATAAGCAACACTTTGAAAAAATTACATCACATTGCAAGTAAAATTCAGGCCCAGCGATTGAAAGAGGGGTCTGCTTTTAACCAGTTTCAGGACAAAGGTGCCCCTATGGCTCACGTGACTGTGGAAGAATTCATGATCTTGGCTAACGTGACCATAGGGCGATCCCTTGGCGAATCATTTCAGCATGTTCTTCTACTTGTGCAAGACCCTCCTGTGGATTCAGCTTTGCAAATGTGGCAAAAGGAGTTCAACCAAGTAGCCAAGCACTCCACCACATTGAAAAATTACCGACGAAAATATGACACAAACGCGCCACCTGGATCAAAGCAGAGGCAGTTGGCTACGCTGCATTTGAGGGAAGCGCTGTGGAAGAAAGCACTTGAGCTTTCCAGGAATGGGGGTGGGCAGGAACTTTTGGAGATATTTTCCAGAGAACAGCATGCTCCCTTAATATACAGTGCACACTGGAACCTTATCGAACTCCAACGACCGACCCGAATGGCAGCTTACAGTTCCGCTGCCATCCCGTCCCAGTATAAAAGGCACCACGGACTGAACATGACGGACTACACTTGGTTTACGTCTCCGATACGAAGATACGTGGACATCGTAGTTCACCGTTTTGTTCACGCCATGCTTGACAAGGCAGATGACACTCCGCCTTATACCCAAGAAGAATTGAAAGAAATTTGCAAGGAGATGAATGCGCTCCACAAGAAAGCGAAGAAGTTCCATGGTGCATGTGAACTCATGCAATTCTGCCTCCAGTTGAAAGAGAACACGACGAGCACCATACTTCCAATAGTTACTGCATTGGACGATTCCTTTATCCAGCTACGCTTACCGTGTTGTGAAGACATCCCCTCGAGGCATCTGAGACTGCGCTTTGGGTCTATGGGCCTGAACCAGAGACCCAGTTTAGAGCAAGACACAGGTGCGCAAATTCAGTTTTGTCCTCTAAGATGGAAGAAGAAGTTATATGACAGGGTGGCATTTCCAAAACCCACGGACGGGAAAAGACAACAACGCGCCCAGGATTGGCACGATGTTAACCCAAATCAGTTCTTGACTCCGTTGCCTGTACGTGTGTGGGACGACATCATTGAGGCTGTTAGCCAACAAAATCCCCAGGCTCTTTTGACATTGATCCAAAAGAAACACGAAAATATAGCTAGCGAGGCTCAAGAAGAAAAAGAAAAATTCAATGTCAACATAAACACTGATGCCTATCGCAACAGAGACGGGACTATCGCAAATAAGGAATCTAAGCTCCAGCTAAAAATGACCCTTGGGACAGTTGTTCGAGTTCTAGCTCAGGTAAAGTTCCATAGAGGATCTCTTTGTCCCAGGCTGTCTCTAATGAGCTTGTCGCCCAATGCGCACATATGCTTAAAACACCACGACGACCCTGTGGCCTGTTTTTGTGACATTTCCCCAGTAAAACCTTTAGACGATACATATACAGACGTGAAGACCTATCAGTCAACTCTGATCCCTCTACTGCAGATAGAAGGCGCACAAGCGGCTGTTATAGACGAAGTTTCTTTGACCGTCCGGAACGTGAGGGTATCGTGGATGAAGAAACATAGGAACTGGTATGGGAGCGTAGTGCTAGGAGACACCTTCTGTGAAGACCGGGGTATCAGGCTCTCCTCCAGCCAGGAAGATGACGGTGATGCAGCTGCTAACCCTGATAGAATTGTAGACACCGGCGAGTACAGAGGGTATGTGTGCATTGTTTACCGCGACCTTCCGCCTGACTCCCAATGCGTCAGTTACAGTGGTGCTACTGGCGATTGCCCCGTTGACCATCAGTCGTCTCATAGCGAGCCGTCATCTAGAAGCATCTGTTTGCCGCAGTACAACTCAGACGCAGAATCCACGTGGTTGGGACATGGTCTGATTGTTCATGTGAGACGCAGGGACAAGAGGGTGGTTTTTAAACTCCATGATGGCATTGTTCCGGAGACGATCGAGTCCAAAACCTATCCGAAATTAGCCACAGTGGAATTTTTGGACAGAATAATGCCGTCCGTGTATGTATTGCCATCACTAAAGAATTATATATTTTTTCATAGAAGCTGTTTTCTCAATGTTCCCAAATGAATTGTGTGCAGTGTAACATATAGTGGCACTTCATCAGTGCCTGGTGTTTAACCGCGTGGTTAAACATTATTTGCGAAATGACTCTGTAGTTGGGAAAGGATCTGAACAGTCCTTTTGAACCCTCAGTTGAACTAACAATTAGTTTATTCTTTGTATTGTCTGCCGTATGTAAAGGGTTAACATTTGATCTGTAAAAAAGCAGATGGTGAAAAGCTTCTCTGCACACACACACAATTTATAGATATAGTAAATTTAAAATCATTAATTTCTAAAATTCGAACATTCTTGTTGAGTTTTGGCATCAAAAAGTCACACACACATACACACCCACGTATACACGCACGCACACACACATACACACATAAAAGTACATGCATACATAGGCCTACATACACACATACATACATACATACATACATACAAACTTACATTTTCATTGTGACATTGGCTTTGACCATTGTGTCTGTGTAATTCCATCACTTTTTAAGGCGAATGGAAAATGCGGTGCGAAGTCTTGGTGAAGCAACCATCTTGGCCAAAAATATCGCTTTGGGTAAAGCCAATCTCAGAGATGTGATGAACGATAGAGGTAAGCTAAAGTTTACCGCCTTATTATACCAGTGCCTTTAGATGCCCCAAATTGTATGGCTTAAAGTAATGCCCTTACTTTTACAATGGTGAAAATGTCAAATTTACATTTATTTAACTCATTTTTACTTAAAATTCGAACGTCCTTATTATTTGGTTGCAATGAAACAAGAAAGGGAGCTATTTAAACTATTTTCTGCAAAGAAAAAGCGCAACAGATGCTACATTTTAATTTACGCTGTAATGATTCTAAAAACATGTTTCTGAAAAAAAAGGTACCCAGTGAAAAGATCGAGTCATTAGAGTATTGTTGTCAGCTGCCGTCATCACTCTGTCTAGATAGAACTCAAACGTTCAAAACTGAAATATAGGACAAAGTTTTTTAAATCTGGGAGAATTGCAAAAAAAAGTACATTAATATCAATAAATGATATGTAAATAAAACGAATGATGTTAAGTACGGTTAGAATTGTTGTCAGTAACTTGAGAAGTGGGTGCTTTCGTTGATTTTTAACGCGATTTATGCGTATTTTTAGCGTTATACTGTTAACACAGGTGTTCGGCTGAAATGCGATACTTACATTGCTGCATGTTAATTTTTCACAGACTTTAAAGATGTGAAGACATTTTTTGACCTCCACGAGGAAGACCCAGAAAAGAAGAAACAAAGGAAAAAAAGAAAAGAACCGTCTCGCGTGAAATCCGAAGACCTTTTTGACAGAAGAACTATATATTCTAAAGGGCGTTATTTGGAGAATTATCTTCCGAGAGCCAACGAGAAACAAAGGGAAGCGGTGATATCTGCCATAATGAAACCATTCTCACTGATTCAAGGACCACCAGGTATATAAACACGATCTTTTGTCCAACTTTCTCTGATTCAAATTGTAATATATTTTGTTATAGGTTTTTGTATTGTAAGCCATTTTAAATAATGTAGTTAAAAATTATTTAACTTAGGGCTGTATTCACATGGGGCTTAAATAACGTTTTATGTATAAAATCAACAGCAAGTCTTTAAAGAAAACCCCTCAACCCCTTCTTCGTACTTTGTTCAAGCGTTTAAAAGGCTATTTATAGCTGACCAGGCGCCTGAGGAAATCAGGAAGCCGAAAATGATGCTTTTTCCCCAAAAATCCCAATGTTACGTCACACGGTTGACTAGAAGATTTTTTTAAACACAATTAGTTGTTTTGAAGATACATTAAATGATTGCAGTAGGAATGAAAAATCGAAGACTTTTTATTTAAGACAAAATCTCCAATCTACAGTCCTACTTTAAAAGTCAAGCTTTGGATAACTTTTAACATTGGTAAATAGACTTATAATGTATGTATATGCTTATCTCTTTTTTTATTTTTACCTCTATCTTTTTGGTAGATTGATAAACTAACAGTCAAAGTGTTTATTTAACAGAAGCAAAAAAAGTAGGACATAATATGTTTTAACAAAGTCATTTCATTGAATTGCAGCGGATACTTCCCTACCAACACTTGGTCTTTTCTGATCAATCTGTTTGTTTTAGTTTTAAAATATGTCATGCGATGTTTGCTTAAATTAATTTTAAATTCCCCTCACTAACCAATGCCATTTCTCGTGTCCAGGCACAGGCAAAACGCTTACAGGTATCCGTCTGGCGTACTTATTCGTAGAATGGAATCGCAGAAACTCCCCAGGAGAAAGAAAACATGTGCTGTATTGTGGACCGTCTAACAAATCAGTTGATGTGGTTGCAGGTAGGGAAAACGCAAGTAAGGAAGAATGAGAATTGCATGAATGGCGATAAGGTGTTTGGTATCCATGTCGTCCGTTAAATTAACATCCAGGGGCCGGTTTCACAAAGCAGTAGTTAGTTAGCGATCGGTAGTTAGCCTCTCGCTAGTTATAGTGCCGTTTCACGAAGCAGTCGCTAGTTCTCTCGTTCGTTATTGTCTCGTTGTTACCTTGGATATTTAACGACTGGTCAGACCAGTCGCTAACTCTAGAGTTTCATCGTACGCATGCGTAATGAGTGAAATAAAAAGGTTGCTTAGTTACCGTTGTCTGTCGTTTGTCTTTGTATCCAATATGGCGGCTACCTTTCTTGCTATCCGTACCGCCAGACGGCAACGTAGACTACAGTCATAAGATTATGTATGTGTGCATTTATTCCATCTAACGTAAGAAGATTAGATACAATTATAACGTCAGAAAATACAATAGAGGGAGTGTGATAATGATAGGGTCGCTAAACGAATTTGAAGGAATATAGTGACTAGCCTAATCCTCTTGTCGCCTGGTTAGGCACGCCCCCTTAGAGTACTTATGTAAACAAAAGGTCTTCCATAGAGAACTATCCTTTTGTTCAACAGCTTCGCGCGTGCAGCGGATTATGTATATATAGGACTTGCATTATTCGAAAGGTGCGATGTGCGCATGACCGGAATTGTGCACTGCAGGGGTCAAAATAGTACCGGAAGCGTTGTTCACAGCGATAAGAACACATGATGGAAGCAGAAGACGTGCCAGGAGCGGTATTAAACAAGCCATTTGAAGCGGCAACGGTGCCGGAGTTGAAACGCTGGTTAAAATGTAGGAATGCCCGCACATCAGGCAAAAAAGAAGAGCTGATAAAAAGGTATGTTACACGATATTTTCTGAAATACAAGACCAAATACAAAACCCGAATGTGGTGTTGATCATGATGTCTCTACCTAGTCTTTAATAGCCAAGGACGATAACAGTATGTTCATTTCCTTTGGTCATACTGTTTAAAACATGAAGTGGTTGTTGCATATAATAATTGAATCTTAAACACTTTACATACACCAAAGTTCTATAGCTTGTTATTTTCAGGTAAATATTTGTAGGCTTGATTTGATATAATGTGGCCATGCATTATCTCTTAGTTATCTAGCCAGGCATGCCCGTACTATAGTGACATTAGTGTTAGTAGAAGACAAATAAACTTGCACTGCATATCAATACTATATTGTATTACAACATGTCCAGGCTTCCTGTTTATCAAAGTTATAGAACGATAAGTGGTCATTATGTAATTATGTTCACCTGAGTCCTTTCTTGTGGAGATAGATTTGTCACCTGGTTCAGGCAATTATCTGATACAATCTCTGAGGTGCGCTAGTGTACTGTAAAGGTAATTAGTACAAGCTCCATGTCAATATCAGTGCATCTATCATTTGTTTCTTCTTCATTATCTTTCTGTTGTGTATCCAGGTAAATTTTGGTAAAAATAAAAATAAAAACACTAGTCACGTCAATTCTCTGTTTTGTCATCAGTCTGATATGTATGTGTGTAAATTAATCACTGTTATAGATGTGTTGATGATGATTTTAATAAGTATTTTCATGGCTTGTTTTATAGGTGTAAACTGTACAGTGAGGATAGAGAGAGAAACAAAATAGTGGATCCAGATGGTGGAGTTTGGCAGCAGAGAAAAGTGGAAGTGCCAGATAGAAGTTTGAATCAAGACAGTGGAGAATGGACCAAGTCCTTGAAGGGAATGCCCAAACTGTTTGGAGAGGCTTCCATTTATGAACTGGTTGGCGGCAGTGGGGAAAAACATAGAGTTGGCGGGTACAATATATATAAATCGGGGAAAGTTCAGAACATTCTTGTTAAAATTGATAATGTATTCTCAGTGAGGGCAGTTGTTGCTGCGAGTTTCACAAAGGACAGATACAATTCAAAAATTGACATTTTGGCTAATGGCAAGATTGATGCCTCCTACTGCAAGTGTAAGGCAGGAGCGCAGGGAAAATGCAAACATGTTGTTGCAGTTTTGTTTAGTTTAAATGACATGAGGCTGTCTGGGTTATCTGAAATCCCTGAAGAACTTGCATGCACACAAAAACCCAAAGAGTGGGGAAGACGGAAATGCAATGTGACTGTCACCGGAAAATTTTCAGACTTGGACTTTGTAAGGCATGAACCAGGAAAAAATCCCATCAGCGTAGGCCATTCGAAACGTAGAAGAGAATATGCTGTTCTACCACCTAGCAAGCAATCTCTCCCCAAGCCTAGACTGGACAACTATGGGAGCATGCTGCCTGAAGGCTCAGTTAGAAAGTTGATGCTGACCAGTTTATGGAGCAGTAGTGAGGTAATTCGCATTGGCAAAGATTAGTCTTGCTAAAGAAATATTTAAGGTACACGTGCCATTACCAAGTCGCAGAAACTTTACAGTATCTATGAAAAAGGTGTCAAAAAAAATTTTGTCTTTCTTCAATCTAAAAAGTTTTTTTATGATTAGTTTACTGGAAGTATCATATAATGCCATTTTATATCTATTTCTTCTCACCATTGTTCATTTGCTTTATATTAAATTTCAGAAGTCAGTAAGCCCTGTAGGTGTTCATCCAGAACACAGAAAGAATGTGCTCCAACCATGTGTAAGTTGAACATAAAAACCATATGCAGATGCAACCCTCATTGGGAGACACCACCCAAATGGGCTGTATGTCAATGGAATTTCAAAAATAAATTCCAACATTTTAAACAAAATAGTTCACTGAATAATGGTTATTATGACCTTCATTAATATGTAGACATACATTTTTAGGATGCATCATTCATTCCTTTAGGTTAGATATACCCACATTTATAAAAACTTTTACCAACTTAATAATATTTGCCTTGTGTAGTAAGGTACTTGGGTTCTTATTTCATTAGTTCTATCTGTTTTAGCCACTGCAGAACATCCACAACAAGGTGTCAGAACAGATGCAGACTTGGGACTTTGATAGTGAAGAGTTCAAAGAAATGGCAGCCAAGTTTCAGTCACATAGGTTGTCTGTGAATGAAATAATCCAAATAGAGAGAGAAACACGGGGCCAGGCAAACAGTGAGAACTGGTACAAACATAGAAAAGGTAAAATCATTGCGCGGATCTTTCAGCAGATGTTGATACACCACTTCTCAGATGATTCAAATTGTTATACTTAAGACTAAGAACTACTTATATGAAGATATTTAATTTCCTTCATGACATTATTTGATGATAATAACACATAAATGTTAAATGGATATATGGTACTCAGATAAGTAATGTTTGAATTGTACAGTTTAAGTTAAATGCTGTAATTCCAGTGAATGGTTTGCACATTTTATAACTCAAAGCCAGGATTTGACATGTTAATTGTTTTTAAGGATAAGTGGGAATATTACGTAGTATGTTTACAACCAAATTCTTTGTTTGTATTAAGGAAGAATAACAGCCTCATTTGCTAGTCAAGTCGCTCACAGGAAGGAAGAAACGCCGCCGGATGCATTACTGCGTAGGATGCTGCAGTATGATCCTCAAGTCAGCAGTGCTGCAACAAGACATGGTGAGAAGTATGAAAAAGAGGCAGTACACTATTACAGGTAATTACCACTGTAGGAAATATTTCAAGTGGAATTGCAAAGAATGTTTAAAGGGAAACCACACTCTCTTATTGCTAGACAGTGAAGACAGATATATAGATGTTTTGTGAATATTATAAATTGTCTCAGTGAGAAGTAGGCATGGGTAAAAAGAATGAAATATTGTAGGGCTCACAACTTATAAATGTATTCTTTTGGTCATTTTAGAATATTGAAGTCATATTAGTTGTTGGATCATTAGGAATACACAAAAGTATTATAAATTCCCCAGTAAAATTATTGGTTATGAAAGAACTGGAGGAAGAAACCTCTTCATGCCACAGAAATATAACCTTTTTTTTATTTGAAGTTGTTGTTGTCATCAGTTGTTTCATTTTGACAAAGTCCGTTGCAAAAATGCTATAACTGGTAAGCTATTTAAATTTTATAACTTTAGGATGATCAAGGACACTATTATGGAGCCAGTGGAAGTGGAGGATGCAGGACTGGCAATCCATCCATCACACCAGTTCCTAGGAGCCTCAGTGGATGGGGTAGTAACTGATTTGTCTGCTGAACCCCATATCGGTAATATTGAAATCAAATGTCCGTATGCTGATATTGAGAATTTAGAAGAATTGCATAAGAACAGGAAGCGGTTTTGTCTCACATCTGACAACAGTTCCAAGGCTGCCCATTATAGATTCTCAGAGGACTGTTCCGCCATCGACATAGCCCAAGTTCATAGCTCTTTATCAGTAAATACAAAACATCCATACTTTGATCAAATGCAAACCCAGATGGCAATAACTGAGAGAAAGTGGTGCGATTTTGTTGTGTTTTCTACCACAGGCCGTACAGGTGAAATAATGACTGGAGAGATTGTTATACAGCGAGTGGAGTTTGATGCTACATACTGGAAAGAATTTTTATTGCCAAAGTTACACAAGTTTTATGTGGAATGTATGCTGCCTGAAATGATCAGCAAACGAGTAGCAAATGGGAAGCAGCTCTTTGAGGTCTCAGATAAATTTACTTATAGGAAGAAACAGTAACGTAGACATTAACATATATTTACTTTCAAAGGTGCCTTACTAGATCCCCTGTGCAAAGGGTTTTTTTTATTGTTCAAATATGCTCAAGTGCATTGTGATAATAAAAATGTGATATTTGGTAACATTTTTTATATTTGCTTAAAAAATACTATGGTGCTTTACTTATGTGAATTCTTTTTAGTATTTTCTAGATATGCTCAAGTTCATTGTTATAATGCAGTATTTGGCAAAAAAATTTTTTATTTGCCTATAAATATATACAATTCAAGACTTGGTTTCACAATTTTATTTTGCATAATGATGTTGCCTTAAAATATCTTTCCAAGGTGCCTTACAATATTTCATGTTTTTCAGAAATTTTCTAGATATGCTCAAAGCATTGTGATAATAAAATTTGTGATATTTGGTAAAATTGTTTTCTTTTCTTTCTTTTTAATTTGCAGAAGAAATATACGATTCAGTACTCCTTCACAGTCGGGTTTAAACCTGGTTTAACCTTGCTGTGAAATCAAACCAAAGTTTCACAATATTATTTCATGCCATTGTTTTTACAGTCACTGTCCATCTTGTATTTTTCCAATCAACTACTCCGTTTAGTTCTTAAATAATCATGCCATAGAAAGGAATAGTAATTATGATACAATGGGCTCCACACAAAGGTTTACCAAATAACAGCATATAACCCATATTTTGTTCAAGTCGCTGGCCATAGAGTTTGGAAATACATATTTCAAAATCCGATAGTTCTTCACTCTCCCGATAACACGTTCAACATGGATCCGTACCTTGGCAATACTCCTAGTTTCATCCTCTTCTCCAGGGCTAAGTTGGGGTTTGCCAGACATGAAAGGTGGTATGTTCAATCCTATTTTTTTTTCAGCAAGATATTCATCAATGAGAAACCCTCTATCTGCCATAACAGAGTCCCCTTCCTCTAGGAGATCCAAAAGACCACTATTCTCTGTAATATCTTTGTCAGACATACGACCTGGAACCAAATCTGTCACAAAAGTAATGAATCCATTGGGAGCTATCCCCAAAAGCCCCTTTGCAGTATTGTGACTCTTATAATTTGAATATGTCTGTCCAGAGACGTCACACTGGTTTGGTGTTTCAATAAACAATTCAGTGCAGTCAAGTACTACACGAGTAGAGGGATATTCTTGCTTGAAGCACTCTGGCATTGTTTGGTCTATTATCTCTCTAGATGGCCAAATGGGCATTTGTCGAAAGCGAAAGTATAATAGCTCAAAGTAGGTTTTGCAAATCCGTGACACTGTAGTTGTGTGCACACCAAACCTGAAAGTATAAAGCAACCTGCTGAAAAAATAGTACCTAAAATGTTTTGCAAATGAAATAAAATAATTCTGCATAAAAGACTATCCAATGTTTAGGCTTAAAGAACAATACAAATATTAAATTTGTAACAATAACTTTAAAATATTTAAGTATGAAATAAAACCTGCATGAATATATATGCTAGAATTTTTATTTTCTTTTCTTTTTGACTATGTATTTAATCTTTGCTCAACTTGATTACGAAATGCTGCAGAAATAGATTCTAATAAAAAAATAGCATTTTACCTGTATGCTAGATCTTCTTCAAGCAGACCCACTCTCAACCTGCATAACACAAGGAATAGCTCATCCTCTGTGCTCAGTGTTCTGGGTCTTCTTTGTTGCCTCTCCTCAGGATTTGAAAGATCCGTGCCCCAATACTGCATTGAGGTAATGTCAGGGTATAAAAAGTCATGAAAATTTTTAAATTCCTCGTAAGTTTCAAAACCAGTGTAAAATTTAACCATTTCAGGTTTGTTTTGCATAGACTTTATGCTGAAAATGTGTTTGTCAGCTTCCTCTTGTGCTTTGGACAGTTGTTCCTGCATTTTCATGTATTTTTCCTCTGTCACAGTTTTTCTTTGTGCATCTTTTTTTGCTCGTTGTAATTCCACTCTTGTTTCTGAAAGTTCAAGTTCTAAAGATTGAATTTTCTGTTCCATACTGAAAATAATATGTTGTTTTTCCTTAACTGTCGTTAAAAGCGCATCTGAGCTAACATCTGATACAATGCAGTAGGCATCGTGATCTGTGTTTGAGAAGCCATTTTCGTCCTCGCTGTTCAACTTCCAGTCCCACTCGCCGCCAGGTTCACTTGAATTTGTCTCAGAGTTATCAACTGTTAAATGTCTAATAAGGTTTCTTCTGGGCTTACTAACCTTCGATTCCTTGAGTGGAAATATAGTTGGTCTACCTCCCAAATACGATTTCTTTCCTCCTTCAAAATGAGCACTACACACACGGTGATGCTTGGCGGGCTCGAACTTACTAAATTTGCCTGTATTTCCCGCTCGTCCAATATTGTCAATCCATATACCTCTCTCTTTTGGGTCCTTGGGAAAAGCATAAAATGAAAAATTTCGATCTCGCTTCGTATTGTTGAAACAGCCAGGCACACAACACATAGAACCGCCGAGAGGCATTTTACTTCTGTGTACAGAAATGGCGGCTACTCAAGTTGGGTCCCACTTTACCCACAATGCATTGCGCGCAATATCGAAAACGAGACGAATAATGCAAGTCCTATATAGTGACGCTATACAGCTAACTGCAGTTAAATCTGTGAAAGCTGTTATTTAATTTATTCTGCTGTGTCGGACGTTGTGGGCCAGCCCAATGGTTCATTCACTCATTCTTTTCTGAAGATTGGTGATGCATATTTTGAATGCTTAATTATTTGCCCTCCTTCTTACAAGAGAAAGGAAAAGGGGAGAGAAACAGAGACAGTGTCAAATAAAAAGGGTAAAGAGTAATATAATACATTAATTAAAGGGACTCGCGGTAGGAGAAACGATAGACTGTTTTGCATCAAGGTATGCAATTATAATCCCACATGGCCATCGCATATACGGCCGTAGTTTAAATACATTACTCATAGTTGTATTTAATTACATTATTTTGCTGAATAGACATACATT